CGCCCCGACAGCAAGTCGGAGCGGCCGGCTTTTTGGCATTTTTTTTCATAGCGCCAGGGGGCGACGACAGTACATACTGTTTCGCCCCAGACTTGCTTTTGTCCCGTCGGATCTGCGAAGGTGCGCAGGATGTGCCGTGGCGCCGTGGATCTGTGGAGCGGTCCGCATTCTTGTCGACGGAAGCATCGAGTCTGGGGTGAATCGGTTCTGTGGTCGATCCCCTACTCGAGTTCTCGGCCTCGGGGTGCCCTCAACGGGCCCTGGGATGGTCAACAAAAACGACTCAGGATGGAGAACCAGCCCTTGGGAACTGCGAGCAAAATTGAAGTGCCGGATGTCTGGGGAGGGGAGGCCCGTTCATGCGGGCGCGCCAGCGGCTGCTGCTCGGGAGGACAAGACGGGGGGGCGAGAAGGCGGAGGCGGGGACGGAGGCAAAGCTGGGCCGATGCGAGTCGGGAGTCTCCGAGTGCCGGCGGAGCGCGGAGGAGGCATCCGTCGGGCGTCGCGGCCGCTCCGCGGCGTTCCAGAGCGCTCCCAGGGCGCTCTGGGGGTCACGGGTCCTTGTCCTGGGCCTGCTTGAGGAATGGGACGGGGAGATCTTCAGGATGTGGGCCGACAGCTACGGTAAACTTGCATAGTGAGGATGAGCGACTTCCCAAGGCATCCCTTGCATCCTTCCCCTTCGGCCCATCGTTGGCTGATTTCGCTGGCCGCGCCCCTCTCGCAAAGCGCCGACATGGCCCTCCAAGGCCCGTGCATCCTTGTCTTGCGTCCTTCTGATACGGGCGGACGTCTTGCCTCAGCTCCATGCAACGGCAGGGTCGCGAGAGCGACGAAGACGGGGGATCGACGATGGCCCGAGAAGCGAACGAGGGGAGGAGGGGGTGGGGGCGAGAGGCGGAGGAGTGGGCGGCCCGTTAGCGCGGAACGCGGGGGCCACCGAGCCACGAGCATCGAGGCACAGGTGCCGTCAGCCTGGGAGGGGACGGAGGGTACGCAGGGGGCAGGGCAGCTGGACAAGGCGATGCGACGAGGAGGCGAGGGGGCCCACCCTTCGGGCAGGGGCCCACAGGACAGGCTGCGTGTGAGTCGCCGTCATCGCCGCCGCCGTCGTCGCCGCCGTCGTCCTCCTCCTCGCTCTCCTCCTCCTCCTCCGTCTTCTCCCGTCGGCTGTTGGGTCCAAGTGGGCTCAGCGCCCGCCCGGCAGTAGAAGCTTGACCTTTCCTTCGTGGACAGCCGCTCCGTTCCGTTCCGTCTTCTCCTTGTTCCTCCGTCTCGTGGCCTCCCCTTCCTGCTGACGTTTCTCCTCCTCTTCGTCTTCTCATCCACGCCCTCAGTGATACCCCCTCCTCCTCGCAGCCTCGCATCCTCTTGCGCAACATCCCCCACAATGCGGCACGCAACTCAACAGAACAAATCATCAACGACCATCCAGTCGCAACTCAGACGGTGGGCATCGGAAAAGCTTGCCAACATGGTGAAGCTGCAGCTCACGCTGCTGCTGCTTGCCTTCTCGTCCTCGTTCTTTTCGTTGTCCCTGTCAGCGCCGTCGCTGTCGTCATCGCCATCGTCACCATCACAATCGTCAACGTCATCACCATCACCACCATCACAATGATAACATCATCAATCACATCATCAACATCATTATCAACACCATCATCATCATCATCATTGTCACCACCCGCACCATCACCACTATTATCATCATCATCACCATCACCACCGCCCTCATCGTCACCATCATCAGCAACATCACCATTACCATCACCCCCATCACCACCACCATCATCATCGCTACCATCATCATCACCATCATCCGCATCCGCATCATCATCACCACCGACATCAGCATCAACAACATTATCATCACCACCAGTATCGTCATCATCATCATCCTCATCCTCATCCCCCATCCTCACTCTCACCACCGTCATCATACTCATCGTACTCATCATCGTCACCATCATCGTCATCGTCATCAGCATCATCACCAGCAATATCAGCAGCACCATCGTCACCATTACCATTACATTACCATTCCCATCACCAGCACCATCACCCTCACCATCACTAACACCATCACCACAATCATCATCATAATCACCATTGTTATCACCATCAGCATCATCATCATCATCATCAGTATCATCGCCAGCAGCATCCTCATCCTCATCCTCATCACCTTCATCCTCATCCTCATTATCATCCTCACCATCATCGTGACCACCATGATTTATCACCACCATCAGCATCATCATCACCACCACCACCATCACCATGACCATCTTCAACAACAACATCATAATCATCATCATCGTCACATCTTCATCATCATCATCATCATCATCACCATCACCATCACCATCATCATCACCATCACCATCACCATCACCACCATCACCATCACCATCACCATCATCATCACCATCACCATCACCATCACCATCACCATCACCATCACCATCACCATCACCATCACTATCATCAGCATCAGCATCATCATCATCATCATCATCATCATCATCATCATCATCATCATCATCATCATCATCATCATCATCATCATCATCATCTTCGGCTTCGTATTCACCTTCATCATCATCATTATCATCATCAACATCATCCTTATCGTCATCGTCGTCGTCGTCGTCGTCGCCACCGTCGTTGTCTCCGCCTTTTTCCCCCCGCTCCTGCTCTTGCTGCTGCCGCCACCGTTTCTGCTGCTCCTCCGTCTGCTCCTCCGTCTGCACATGATAAATCCGCGGCAGCCTTGCGTAGCTCCCACAGGCGGCCCTCGCGCACCCTCAGACGCCATGCCCACCGTCACAGCTGGCGGGTTGCTGGACTGGGTCTTGACCACCTGCGTCGGGGAGCAGTTCCCTCGTCCCTCCGAGCTTGTCTCCGAGTGCCAGCCCCCCATGAGCACGGGGTTGCAGTATCGGGTGGCATTCGAAAGACGAAAGGCCCTAGGCCATACGAAGCTGGGCCTGGAGCTCAACCTCCAGACGTGAGGTGGCAATTTGCGCGGAGCTCATTTCTTCGAGATGCACGGGATACTCAGATCGTCGCGTCTCGGCGCAAGTCCCCAATCCTTCAGCCATCGGTATCGCCCCTTTCCCCCCTCCCCCCCCTGCGGACGCGTTCTCCACATGTCTGTCCTTCGTCCAGCTCAGATCCTGAGTGGTGTAGCTGCCGCAATGTCTACTCCTGCTGAATCAGGCGTGCTCAACAAACCGCTCTAGCACCGCAAAACATCAAGCGCAATGCGAGCTCAGCTGTGAAAGGAGAGACGTGGGCAGGTCGTGACAACGCGTGTCCTGGCCAACCAAAGCACCTTCTCTCTCCCTCTCTTCCTCCCTTATCTGCTCCCAAGCGCTGCTTTTGGCCTCCTCCATGGCCCCTCGTTTGCGCTATTGCCGGCATGGGCGGAGGGTGGTCTGTGGGTGGGCGCTCCCGCAAGGGTCGGCCACGTGTGAGCATCTGCACACGCGCACGTTTGGGCCATACCTTTCCGCATCGTGTTGGCGAGACGGAGCTGCGGCATCCTGCGCTCCACGCTCCGCTGTGCCAGCCCCTCAGCCGGCTCCTCCCCCACACCCCCGACGTCGTGCTATTTTCTCGGGCCGGGAGCCCCAGAGGTCCGGGCCACTTCCCCAGGGCCAATTTCGGCGGTGGACAAACCTCCCTTTAGTAAACCTCCCCTTAATGAAAACGGCATGGGGCCGAAACTGACGGACCTGGATCCGCAAAAATGACGGCCGCGACGCCCTCTCGCGAACCGAACACGGCCAATTCGCTAATCGACGTGTCAGGGTAGGAGGTGCATCCACCCCCGACGACTCTGCACCCTGAGCAGTTTTCCGATGGTATGGTCCCCAGGGCCCCGTCGGGCCCCGCTCGGCAGCCGAAGCACGGCAGACTGCCGCGCGTCGTGACTTTTTGGGCCTGGGCCCGCCCTCCCCCTTCACCGCCGCCCGTCTCCCTCTCCGCTTTCCTCCGCTGCGTCTCTCCGTGCCAGGGGGGGGGGGCAGCACCTACACTCGAAGCGCGCCCGGGGCCACACGGAGCGACAACGGAAATCCTCCTCCACACAAATCCCCTCCCAGGAGGAACGCTCTTCGCTCGGGCCACGACCACGCGCGCGATCCTCCAGCTCCAGCAACACTCTCCCGAACCGCCCTGGCCACCCGGGCTCCATCAGCGCACCCCACAACGTGTCGCCGTCCGACCCAGCGTGGGCCCCGAACAGTGGGCTCTTGCAGTCCCGATGTGCAAGCTGTGTGGTGCAGGATCACCTGTGGAAACCGGGGTCGTCAACCCCAGTGCTCGTGGACACATTCCGGTTGTTGGCAAAGCTCTACTGGCGTAACGGTCCGAGGACGCCCCTCATGCACATGATGATGGTGGCGTTGATAGCGAGGGCGACGGCGACGACAACGACGATGACGATGACCATGGTGATGTTGACAACGACCATGGGGACAATGACGACGCTGGTGCTGGTAATCCATCTGATGGTGATGGTGACGATGATGATGATGATGACAACAGTTGCAATGATGACGCGTGCGATGATGATAACGATTGTGCTGGTGAGGATGATGATGAAGTGTGCGCGCGCAGCAAGTCAACACTTATGTCAAGATCACTATTTTAGACTTGCGCGCGCGCAGACGCGCGCGTGTGGCTCGTACGGTACAAGTTGGCAGGGGTGGCGGGTGAGCGATGAGTGCTACGTCTTTTAGACATGCGCGCGCGTGGCCCTCGTGCTTTCGTTGAAAAGAATGGCCAGACGCTGATGATTTCTCATGATTCTGGCGAGTGAGTGCGTGCGCAGAAAACTGATGACGTTGGTGAACCGCTATGCCTTGAAAGGCTTCGAGAACCAATGACCCTTGACAGTGTTTTACATGCTCGAGCGGAGGCGGTGGCCAGCGCTGTACAATTTGAAAAGGGTGGTTCAAAATGCAATTCTTGAATCAACGCATGTTTCGGGATTGCCATGGTCATCGTCATCGTCGTCGTCGTCTCCTCAACCTCTTGCGTCTCCGTCGACCTTCGCCAGCGAAGTCGTCGTCGCCGACGTCGCCGCTGTCGCCACCGTCGCCTTCGCCCTCGTTGTCGCCGCTGGCGTCGTCGTCGCCGCGGCCCTCGCCTTCGCCGTCGCCGCAGTCTGCCTATACAATCTCGCTTGCAATATATTACGCTGATTGTGCACGTGGGCCCAGGAGGGCTCCAAGAGCTCTCTGAGCTCTCCAAGGGGCCCCCGAGAGGCACCTCGAGGGACCCCGAGATGCATCCAAGAGGCCTCCGACCCACAACCCAAGCCTTTCCATCGCTCGGACGTCCATTCCCCGTGCATTGTTTGGTTTCGTAAGTGTTTTTTTTCCAGGGTGATCCAAGGTGCTCCAAGATGGTCCAGGCGTTGTGGCGCTGGCCCCGCCGAATAACATGCACATGTCCGAGGCACGGTGGCGGGATGGGCCAAAGGCCACCAGAGATTCCGCGGGCCTGTGCAACTGGCGCCCCCTCAAATCCTCCTTCGGGGATCTACTGACCCGGGTCGAGCCAAACCCGGGTCGATCAGGCCTTGCAAGATCCTACAAGATCCTGCACACCAGCCCGGGTCAATGCAGCCCTGGCTCTGCAGGATCCTGCAAGATCCAGCGCTCTGGCTGACCACCGTTTGCACTGACCCCCGTCGCTCGACCCCCGACTCCTCTCCGAGCCGTGGCGCGCGGCCTTCCGACGCAGCGCCCTGCCCGTGGGGCCCTGCGCCAGGCTCCACTGGATGTCGGCCAGCGACGCCTCGCGGCGGCTCTCTGCTCTGCTGGCCTCGCCAACCTTCTGCCCGAGACGTACACCCTGCGAAATGCTTAAGAAATCATGGATTAAGAAACTCAGAGTCTCAGAATTTGAATAAAAACCCAGAACTTCTATTAAAATCTTAGGATTTACATTGAAGCATTAAGAATAATCGAGACTCTGGCCGAAAACTTAGGTTTTCTTAAGCATCGCCTAGGGTGTACTTCCCATAATATATTTTCACCGAGGTAATCTCTACCACTGCTGTCACACGGCTCCGCCCCTCGGCACCCCGACCCCCTCGCGTCGCGAGAAGGCCACGGTGCCTGCTGGGGACCGACCTGGTTTCTTCCGGGCGCGCTTCGGCATCCGGGGGCCCCAGCCGTGCCTCGCGAGTGCCTGAGGCGGACTCAGGTCGCAAAGGGCGGCCCCAGGTGGGGAGGCGCGTGGCGAAACAGCCACGACGTCGGGGGTCGGGGACAAGGTCCTGGAGGGGCGGGGTCCTGCTTTTCTTCGCTCGCTGCGTTCGAACAAAGAAGAAGTCGAGGTGGCCTCTCCTGGGCCCTGGGGCCGTCAATTGCCGGGGGGTCCCAGGGTCCAAAGGACCCGCTTCTCCGCCAGGAGCCCTTTCCTTCGTGCTCAGCTCCCGCTTGCTCGAACCGGTTGCCTCTCTGTGCGGGGCCGTGCGCCCAGGAAGAAATGCTCGACGACGGCGGCACGCGGAAGGGACGACGTTGGGGGGAGCAAGGGTTTCTTCAGCTGCTCTGGGGGCCCCGAACGGCGCTCGCTTCGAGAATCGCTCATGCAGACGTCCTGGGCGTCTGAAAGAGGCTACACCACTAGGATTTTCACGGCCTAAGCCCTCTCCCGTGCTCTTACCACAAAGCAGCGGCCCTGCCAACGCCGCCCTGACCTAGTGGGCGTAGCCCCATCCGCAAGAAGGATATATGGCGGATTCCGGGAACCTGGAATCCCCAAACATTGCCATCTCTTGGGGGCGCATGTTTACTTCCGCTTGTCGGTGCGCTCTCGACCCGCGGATCAAAAAAGTTTGTTAACTTCCGCAATCTTCCGCCGCCCGCGGAGGCGGCCTTGTTTTACTTCCGCCAACCTTCTGCCGCCGAGGAAGAGATGACAATTCCTTCGATCCTCGAAAGCAGGGCCATTTTGGAACGCCTCATGTAGATGCTTGCGAATCAGAAATTCTCCGATACCTCTGCTTTCACCCTGTCCCTCTCTTCGCCCTCCGTTTCTCCGTCTGGCTGGCTTGCTGGCTTTGCTGCTTCCCTGTCTCTGGGTAGCCCTGTCAGCTTCCGATTCTCCAGCGCTCTGGCTTCCTCACCTGCCCTTTCTCCTCCGTCTCTCTGGCCGTCTCGTGGCTTCCATCGTATAGGTTGAGCCGACGAAGATGCGGGCGCCCGTCGGATGCTGCGCCAGCGCTGGGCCCCCCTGCCTGCACCCCCAGGTCGGTTGTTGCTAGAAGTGCCTCCTGGCCCATGGTGCCCCAGCATTTCCAAGGAGGCCCCACGGCCTCAAAGAGCACCCCTCGCGAGGCCCAGAGGGCCCCAGGGGCTCCAGAATGGAGCGAAAAGCTGGGGGCACCTTCGGCCAGGGAGACGACGTCTGGGAGGCCCCCGATATCTCATGTCCTGCTCTTTGGGCTGGCTGTGCGGAGGTTGCGGAGGAGGCGGA